AGCGAGTCCCTGTGTGCAGTGCCCTTTAAAACAGATAACAGGTGTCATAAGTAACCACAATACTTAGACCTAATGATTCTATCACAGGCAGAACAGAAACCTCCTGTTTGCTTAATTAAAGCATTCAGACTGTGAAGAGACTGTACAGAGGCCTAAGCAGTGGTTAATATGATTTGAAACTAACCTGCACAAGTTAAACTCAGCCCAAGCATCTTAAAGTCAAAATAACTTTGGACTTTTGTAGCTAATGCTGGAATTCATTCTTAAAGCAAGTTTTAACCTAGGAAGAGAAAAGAATAACCCAACGCAGAATACAACAGACTTCAAAGTTTCCCATTGCAGGCATTTCAGGAACCAGACTAGAGGAGAGAGATCCCTTACATATAAGTGTTGAACAGGAGAAGGCCACTTGGCCCTTTGCTCTGCCATTCAATAAGATCACGGCTGATCTGACTGCAATCTCAAATCCACATATCCACCTACCCCGATAACCTTTCACCCCTTTTATTTAAGAACAATCTATCTACCTGTGCCTTAAAACTATTTGTGGACTCTAATCACCTTTTCAGGAAGAAAGTTCCAGAGATTCAGCATCCTCAGCGAAAACATTTCCCCTCAACTCTGTTTTAAGTACAGGACATTCGTGAAGCCACTTTTGGAATACCGTGTTCAATTCTAGTGTCTTTGCTATAGGAAAGATATTATTAAACCTGAAAGTGCTCAGAAAAGATTTACAAGGATGTTGCCGAGGTTGGAGGGTTTGAGCCATATGGAGAGGCTGAATAGGCTGGGGCTATTTTCCCTGGAGAATCGGAGGCTGAGAGGTGACCTTATAGAGGTTTATAAAATCATGAGAGGCATGGATAGGGTAAATAGACAAGGTCTTTTCCTCAGGGTGGGAGAGTCCAAAACTAGAGAGCATAGGTTTAAGGTGAGAGGGGAAGATTTAAAAGGTACCTAAACATTAACTTTCTCATGCAGAGGATGGTGCATGTATGGAATGAACTGCCAGGGAAACGGTGGAGGCTGGTATAATTACAACATTTAAAAGGCATCCGGACAGGTACATGAATAGGAAGGGTTTAGAAGGATACGGGCCAAATGCTGGCAAATAAACCTAAATTAATCTAGGTTATCTGGTCGGCATGTACAAGTTGGACCAAAAGGCTCATTTCCGTGCTGTACATCTCTATGACTCCAAGTGAGTGATCCCTGACCCGTAGTTCAAGATTCACTCCTAAGATGAAACATCCTGTCCACATCTACCCTATCATTGTCATAGAGTCATACAGCATAGAAACAGACCCTTCGGTCCAACTAGTCCACCTCAACCATGTTCCCACACTAAACTAGGTCCACCTACCTGTGTTTGGCCCAAATCCCTCCAAACATTTCCTATTCATATACTTGTATAATAATCATAAGTAATCCACAGGAACAGCCTGCAACTCAGGTGCAGCTACAAGATCCATGCTACTCTCGTTCCACCAGAGACTGCAGGATCTTGTAAATTGTTTCAAACAAGTTACTTCTTACCCCAGCAATGACAAACTTAACCCTATCCAACCTTTCCTCATGAGATTGCCATTTATATATTCTATGTATTAGTCAAGAAAACCTCTGATCTGCTTCAACTCCATTTTTATCCATCCTTAACACAGTACTCCAGATGTAGGTTCACCAATGCTCTGTGTAATTGAAGCATAACCTCCTTATTTCATCAATAACTGACAATATTCAATCAGGTGTCTTAATTACTTGCTGTAGCTGCATACTAACCTTTTGTGATCATGCACGAGGACACCAGATCCCTCTGCATCTCAGAGCTCTCATTTCTCACCATTTAGATATTTCTTTCTTTTTATGCTTCCTCCTGCCAAAATACAATCTCATCTTCCCACATTATACTCCAAGTGCTTGAGCCCTGCTCACTGAACCTATATCTTTTCACAGCTTCATGTCCTCTTCACAACTTACTTTCCTACATAGCTTTGCGACATCAGTAAATTTAGCAATTATACCTTCTGTCCTTTCACCAAGTCATTTATAAAAATGAACAGTTAACACTAATCCCTGTGGCACACTTGTGACATCCTGCCAACCTGAACAAGACCTATTTGCATCTATCATCCGCTTCCTATTCACCAGTCAATCTTTGACCATGTCAATATGTTACCTCCTTAAACACAGACATTTATTTTCCACAACGCACTTTTATGTGTGACGATACTATGGCTTTAAGTGGTGTATTTTGTCCTTTTTTTCCCCGAAGAGAGGTTTGGGGGCCATAGGTGTCTCCTCCCTACTAATAAAGTAAACAGCTTGTGCGGCCTTTCTTAAAATAAACATTGGAACAATAGAACCAGTATGAAATGGGCAGAGTCAGGCTCTCACAGAAACAAGATTTAGTTTAGCTTTCAGTAGTTTAAAGCTGCTACATCTTTCCCTCTGTTACAGCTAAAAGCTTGGGTTCTGTGCCTGTTGCCAGAGTGAGACAGTCTGTTTTCCAGAATTTGCCTTTGCCAAGGGTGTGTTTATGGGATGTTACTTTATTGGAACAGTTGCTGTTTAGTAGTTACATTATCTATTCTTCTGTCAAGTTTTCCGATAGTTAAAGTTAGACCAACTGCTGTTTCTGTTGTTTGTATATTAACTGTAGAGTTGTGTGTTTTACTTAAAGCTGAATAGCATAACTGATTGAATTACATCTGGAACACAGCACCTTACACTTGCCTTTAAATAACAAAAAGTTAGGATCTACGCTATCTCCTTGACATATTTGAAGAGGGTTTGGTCTAGTCCATAACAATGTGCAACCTTATCAATGTCTCCTGTAAACATAAGCGTAGTAGATCCACTAGTTCCTCTTTTGCTGCAGCATGTATTACTTCGTCTTACCCATCAAGAATAAGAAGGCCCTCAGACAGATCCCAGTGCCACTCTCCTCGCAGATGGCCAAAGCTTAACCCTGGTTAGACACTGGTGCAAGAGTAGAAGTGGAAAAGTTAGAAGAAATTGCAGTAAAGAATAAAGAAGGCCATTTGGTCTGATACTCATATACACCAGCTCAGACATAGATGTTGCACAAACTTTCCAGTCGGGATCAGCATATGTGGAGACACTGGGCACAAGTAGTCTGAAGCAAGGCAGGGGAAAGATGCAGATGCCAGCATGGCAAAGGACAAGGTCACATATGGGTTCTGCTGAAAATTTGGAAGGGATGGTGGAGGGGACAGCATGTAGAAAGAGCTGAACAGGCTTACACACACAATACTTGGTGCAATGACAAGACTTTCAAAAGGTTTGCTATCACTGACAGGGTGCATGAGGGCACAGCCTTGGAGGATATACTTACTGGCATGGAAGAAGTGTCTAACTCTTTTAGCATATTCTGAACCTGACCAGGATACAGTCTAATGTCCCAACTTCAAATGCAGCATCAACAGAAGCCAAAAGTCATGTAAACAGTGCAGTGGAGGCTCACCCTGACAGTGTTACCACTCACATTCAGTCTATTCTCTCACAGACTCAGGTTGGTACCTTGATGGCTGTGAATACCACAGATGGCTCACACAGCAGTCCAAGAATTTACATACATGGAGTGAACTCAACTAGAATCATAGAATTGCTACAGTGCGGAAAGAGGGCATTTGGCCTATTGGGTCTGCATCGACCCTCCGAAGAGCATCCCACTCAGATGGAGCACCATACCTTATCCCCATAACCCCGCATTTACCATGGCTGACCCACCTAGCCTACACATTCCTGGACACTGGAGCTCATCCATTCAGCCCTCTCTTCTACTTTATCTTTCTCCTAGTGTTACTTTTTCCTTCTTTTCGTCCCTTCAACTGCTGGTGCTCGACAAAGACTCCAGGCCTTGGACGACCTCCGGTAAGAAGTGATGATCCCTGGTCTCCGATGATGACTCCCAGTCTGATGCAGCAGCCTCCCACAGTTGCCTCCCAGCCTGGCGTGACGACTTTCCAGCCTCCTCCTGCGGACTCCCGATGTGGCGTGGTGTATAGCCAGGGGCCAGTTCAGACTGGAAGTTAAGTGTCAGAATGGTCCGCTATACTGAACACTTTTCTGTAATGCTGGACATTTTATTTCTGTAACAAATCTTGTAGTAAAAGAAGCTGTGCCTAGGTACTTTTTTTAAAATCTACATCAGTGCTGTAATTAGCAACAGATAAACTTTTCACTATACGCATTGAATGCATGTGACAATAAAGGCGATTTTATTCCATTCTATTTAGTATGGACAGTCCACCTAATCTGCACATCTTTGGACTGTGGGAGGAAACTGTACCACCCAGACACAGGGAGAAACTCCACACAGACAGTCTGATTAACCCAGTTGGATTAGGGTACTTTGAAAAGATGATTTTTTGAAAGACAACTTGTAAAGATCAACTGGCATTATGAAATTAAATTATAAACCATTACAGTGTTACAGATTAAACTTCCTCATCATTACAGTGGAGGAGGCACCAGTCATGGGGCGTAGCAGTCACACTTTCTCCAAGTTTACAACAGCTGTGTTCAACTTCACCATCAGATGTTTTTGCAGATATTCCAGGTATCAAGGGGACTAGAGGGCTGCACCATCCGACGGGCATCCCTCTCATTCACCATCTCCCACTCTCCACCACCTTATTTCTCTCTGCCTCTCCCCCTTTGCCTCCTTCTCCTTCCAGTCTCACTCAATCTATTCGACTTCTTCACCCTCCCTCCTCCTTCTCTCCCAGACCTCTGTTCCCCTCTTCCACTCCTCTCCCTTCACTCTCACCTCCTCCGTGCCCCCTCCCCTTCCCCCTCTCTGTCACTCACCAATCTCTCTCTCCCTCTTCCCAGCCCTCCCTCCCTCAATCCCATTCCCCGCTCAATATCTCATACCTCAATCCCCCCCCAAACCCCCACCTCCTTCGTACCACCCTTACTTCTATCACACTCCTTCCTTCCTTCCTTCCTTCCTTCCTTCAATCCCGCACACTCACCAGGTTGACAAAATGCAGCCTCCTTCCCTCCGCCGCCCAAACCAAGCCGAGCACCGCCAGAACGAGCAACAGGTCCCAAGAACGGATACTCAGCGACTCGGAGCCGGCGGCCATCAAGCCCGTGTTGTGGGGGGGGGGGGGGCGCGAAACCGACACCCCGCCCCTAGCAACCAGGAGGTGGTGCCGCGAAACCGACACCCCGCCCCTAGCAACCGGGGGGCGGGGGCCGTGAAACCGTAAAACCCTGTCAGAGAGCTGGGGGAAATGGAAGGCGATGGCCTCACAGACGGACTCCAGCAGTGAGCTTGACCTCAATACCTCCCGGCAGTTACTGCCCGGCTGCAAGGCATGGATAGAGAAAGACAGAGGCATGGTGACCCTCAGGTTAAACTCACCACCGGTCATCTCTCTCACTGTCTAATGAGAGCAGCGCCTATGCTTCTCTGGGACTGACTTTTCCACCGCCAGACAACGCCAAGTGTCTCACCAGCTGGACAGTCCCAGAAGACAGGGGTACACAGTGAGGAGAGATGTCTCACAGCATGGGGTCAAAGGCAGGCAAGGAAACCTCCTGTATTCCCCCCTTCCTTCCCACCAACCTCAGCTGATGAATCAGAACTCCCCAATGTCGAACAACACTTGGAGAAAGCACCAAGGGTGCAAAATGTACTCTGGAAGGAGGATTTCAAGTCCACCACCGAGACTGGCTCAGGAGCAGCACTACAGGTCGGGCTGGTCGGGTCCTAAAGGACATTGCTGTTAGACTGGTCTGCGGCAGGCGGTGAGGGTAACCAATAAGAGGGAAAAGCATTCTTGACTTCACCCTCAACAAAGTGCCTGTGGCAGATACATTTGTCAATACCATCAACACAGTCCTTGTGGAGGCCTACATCATTTACTTCAACCATAGTGAACTGGATGGATTCAGAACAGAGCCTCCATGGTATATAGTGATTCTTTTGTTATTAATGTGATGGACACATCACTGGCTGAGCCAGCATTGGTTGACCAGTTGTCCTAGAGAAGAAGGTGGGGAGCTGCCATTATGCGCAACAGCATCTGCAGACACCTTCAGCATCACTACAATGGGATTTCTAAGTGTTCTGAAGGAGTGTCCTGACCCAAACCGTGTACTTTCCCACTCCTCTGATGCTGCCTGACCTGCTGTGTTCCTGCAACTCCACAGTGTTGTCTCTGACTCCAGCATCTGCAGATCTTGCTATCTCTTTCTAGGTGTTTAACGAGACTAATTAGAGGAGAAGGTTCTGCACCATCCCCAACATCAAGGATGGTACACGAAATCATGCAGAAATGTTCCAATCATCTTTCACCAGAAGTGCGAAGTGGATGATTTTTCTCACTCCCATCCACAGGTCATAGAAGCCAGTCATAGAGTCGTATAGCAGAGAAGCAGGGCCTTCAGCCCACCATGTATATGCCAAACAACAAATACCAAACTACAGTCCCAAGATGTGCAGGTTAGGTGGATTAGCCATGGGAAATGCAGAGTTACAGGGTAGGGTAGGGTAGGGGAGTGGGTCTGGGTGGGATGCTCTTCGGAGGGGCAGTATGGACCCAATGGGCTGAATGCCCTGCTTCCACACTGTATTCTTTAATTCTATGACTTTATGATACACTAATCCCATTCATCTGCACTTGGCCCATAGCTAACTATGAACATAGAATGTAGAACATAGAACAGTACAGCACAGGAACTAGCCCTTTGGCCCACCATGTCTGAACATGATGCCATTCTACACCAGTCCCATCTGCCTGGACATAGTCCATATCCTTCTATTCCCTGTGTATTCAAGACTCTGTCTAAATGCCTCTTAAACATTGCTCTCATTTTTGCTTCTACCACCTCTCCTGGCAGCAGGGTTCAGGCATCTACCATCCTCTATGTAAAAAACTTCACTCGCACATTTCCTTTAAGCTTTCTCCTTCTCAATATAAACCTATGCCTCCTAGTATTTGACATTTCACCTGGGAAAAAGATTCCAACTATTGAGCCTATCCACGTCGCTCATAATTTTATATATTTCTATCAGGTCACCCCTCAGCTTCTGACACTCCGGTGAAAACAATCCAAGTTTGTCCTACCTCTCCTTCTAGCTAACATCATCCTGGTAAACCTCTTTTGCACCCTCTCCAAAGCCTCCACATCATTCCTATTCTGTGGTGACCAGAACAGCACACAATACTCCAGATATGGCCTAACTAAAGTTTTATATAGCTGCAACATGACTAACCAACTTTTATACTCAATGCCCAGGCAGATGAAGGCCAGCATACAGTACAACTTACTTACCACCTTATCCACTTGTGCTGCCATTTTTAGGGAGCTATGACCTTGCGCCCTATGATCCCTCTGTATATCGATGCTACTAAGAGTCCTGCCATTTACCGTATACTTTCCTGTCGCATTTGACCTTCCAAAATACATCACTTCACATTTGTTCAGATTAAACTCTATCTGCCATTTCCCGACCCAAGTTTCCAACTGATCTAAAACAGAAAAGTTTCGGATTTACAGCATCCACAGTTCTTTTGGTTTTTGTTCCAACTGATCTATATTCTGCTCTATCGAGGTTGTTGAGGTTGGTTGGCTCGCTGAGCTGATTTATTGTTTCGCAGACGTTTCGTTACCAATGCTTGGTAACATCCTTAGTAACTAGCAATTTTCATATTATCTGCAACTTATTAATCAGACCACTGACATTTTCATCCAGATCATTTGTATATATTATAAATAACAGAACTACCAACAGTGATCCTTGTGAAACACCACCAGTCACAGACCTCCAGTCAAAAAAACACCACACCCCCACCCCACAACTACCCTGTGTCTTCCATGACAAAGCCAATTTTGTAGTCAAGTTAGAAACTCACCGTGGATCGCATGTGGCTTAATCTTATGGACCAACCTACCATGAGGAACATTGTCAAATGTTTTAGTTAAGTCTATGTTGACACATCCATTGCCCTATCCTCATCAATCATCTTCAGTGGGACTCAGTGGCACTATCTCTCTGGGTTATAGAGTGTGAAGAGGTTCAGTGGGAGGCATAAACACTCACTTCTAGGGTTTAACAGTATGAATTGGTTCAATTGGACACACAGGCACTCACTCTCTGGGTTATAAAGGATACTGGGGTTCAGTGGGATACAGACACTCTCCGGGTTATATAGTGTGAATGGGTTCAGTGCGACTGAGTGATATTCACTCTCTGGGTTATACAGTGTAAAGGGATTCAGTGGAATTGAGTGACGTTGACTCTCTGGGTTCTACAGTGAGAAGGGGTTCAATGACATTGACACTCTGGGTTTTGCAGTTTAAAGGAGTTCAGTCAGACACAGAGACAATCAGTGTCTATGTTATACTGAGTGAAAGGGTTCAGTTGTACAATGGGACCCTTTCTTGGTTATACAGAGTGAATGGGTTAGTCAGACTGAGTGACACACTGTTTAGATTACATAGTATGAAGGGTTTCACTGGGACATAGACTCTCACTCTGGGTTATACAGTGTGTATGCGTTCAGTGAGACTGAGAGACACTCACTGTCTTGTTTATACAGTGTGAATGGATTCAATGGGAATGGGAGACTCTCACTCTTGTTTGTACAGTTTGAAGGGGTTCAGTGGGACTCTGACACACTCTCTGAGTTAAACAGCGTGAATTGTTTCAGTGGGAGTGGGAGACACACTCTCTGGGTTATACAGTGTGAAGGGGTTCAGTAAGACTGGATGACACTCACTCTCTGGGTTGTACAGTGTGAAGGCATTCAGTGGGGCACACAGACATTGAAACTCTGGATTATACAGTCTAAAGCGTTTCAGTGGGACTGAGATCTCCGTGTTATACATTGCAAAGGGGATCATAAAGACACAGAGACAATCACTGTCTGGGTTTTAAAGTGTGAAGTATTTCAGTGGGATCCAGACACTCACCTTTCCTAAAATATTTTAAAAGTACATTAAAAGGAAGAGGTTAACCAGGGAAAAAGTGGGGCCCGTTAGGGACAAAGGGGGCAACCGGTGTGTAAAGCTGCAGGATATTGGAAAGGTGTTGAATGAATACTTCTCTTCTGTCTTCACTCTGGAAAAGGAGAACGTAGGTATGAAATTCAGGAAAAGGGATTGTGAGGAAGTTACAGTTTGACATAGGAAATGGGAGGTTTTGGAGGCTCTGTCAGGTTTAAGAACTGACAAGTCTCCTGGGCCAGTTGAATTGCATCTCAGGCTGATGTGATTTGATTTGATTTATTATAGAACATAGAACATTACAGCGCAGTACAGGCCCTTCGGCCCTCGATGTTGCGCCGACCTGTGAAACCAATCTGAAGCCCATCTAACCTAAACTATTCCATTATCATCCATATGTTTATCCAATGACCATTTAAATGCCCTTAAAGTGGGCGAGTCTACTATTTTTGCAGTCAGGGCATTCCACGCCCTTACTACTCTCTGAGTAAAGAACCCACCTCTGACATCTGTCCTATATCTATCACCCCTCAATTTAAAGCTATGTCCCCTCGTGCTAGCCATCACCATCCGAGGAAAAAGGCTCCCACTGTCCACCCTATCTAATCCTCTGATCATCTTGTATGTCTCTATCAAGTCACCTCTTAACCTTCTTCTCTCTAACGAAAACAGCCTCAAAACCCTCAGCCTTTCCTCATAAGACCTTCCCTCCATACCAGGCAACATCCTGGTAAATCTCCTCTGCACCCTTTCCAATGCTTCCACATCCTTCCTATAATGCGGTGACCAGAACTGTACGCAATACTCCAAGTGCGGCCGCACCAGAGTTTTGTACAGCTGCAACATGACCTCATGGCTCCGAAACTCAATCCCTCTACCAATAAAACCTAACATACTGTACGCCTTCTTAACAACGCTATCAACCTGGGTGGCAACTTTCAGTGATCTATGCACATGGACACCGAGATCTTTCTGCTCATCCACACTACCAAGAATCTTACCATTAGCCCAGTACTCTGTATTCCTGTTACTCCTTCCAAAGTGAATCACCTCACACTTTTCCGCATTAAACTCCGTTTGCCACCTCTCAGCCCAGCTCTGCAGCTTATCTTTGTCCCTCTGTAACCTGCAACATCCTTCCGC